CTCACTCACATCGACATTTAAGAAACAAATGAACAAGGGAAAAAAAGGGCAAACCGACAGACTCTTAAGTAGAGAGAACAGATGGTTACAGAGAGGTGGGTGAAACAGGTTATGGGGATTAAGAGTGCACTTTGTTATGGGAGGCCTTGGTTAAGTGCCAGCTCGATTTTCCTCAGGTCTTGATCTCATGGCTGGGTGAGTTCAGCAGTTCCAGCCTGGAGTTGGGCTGTGCACTCACAGCATGGAGCCTGTTTGGGATTACTCTCGGCCTTCTCTGCCTTCCCTCCCCTCTCTCCAAAATAAATAAGCTTAAAAAAATTTCTTCTAAAAAAGGGTGTGCGTTATTAAGTGATGGCTGGCTAGTAATGTAATAAGTCATTGAAGCCATATATTGTACCTAAACATAAACATTATCTTAACTATTGGATCAAAAGAAAAAAGAAAAAACAAAAAAACAAAAACAAAACAAAAAAAAAAAACCATGGAAGATATTGTTCACTGATATCTCTCCAGATTCACAGAAAAAGGAGATTAAAATTATCCAAATAAACATCTTTCAACTACTCATGAAATTTTCCTTAAAAATGAAATATAAATTAAAAATTAAAGCAACAAATGTAGTCATTTAGCATTAATATCAGTGACTAGTCATAATAAAGCATTCACAATTTATTAGGTATCACAGACCACTGACAGCGTGTTTGTTTCCATCCTCTATTTTCCCCTTGGGTTTCCAGACAGTTTCTCACCTGTTGGCAGAAGGTGTTGGGGCAGTCCTTTCTTCGGGCATAACTGTGAGACAGAGGCGGATCTCCCCATCTCTCACCTCCCAAGTGAGACCCGGTGAGCGGCGCTAGCGTCCATTGACTGACCTGACCGTGGAACACCAGGTGTGCTGGGCGCGTCCGCGCCCGGGGGAGGTGATGATGGGGCAGGCTCCGAAGACCAGGTGGACGAGGAGTTCTTCGGTGGCAGAAGGCGGGGACTTGCCTCCAGCAGGAACGCCACGTGCGAAACAAAGGGGTGTGCCGAGGCCGCGGCCGTGGACTTGCAGGTTGAGGAGGGCGCCGGGCTCAGGCAGCCGCGGGGAGGGAGGTGCTTTTCCCGGGCGGACTCCGCCTGCTCCGGTACAGCCAGGCGCCTAACAACATGCCTTGCACGCAGTCCCCACACAACTTTCATTTTTATAGGCAAGTACGCGGAGGCCTTCGGGAAGTGAAGTGACCGCATCAGGTCATCTGGTCCCACCCTGGGGTCCTGAGGGAACTGATCCGCGGATTGACCTGCCGCACTACCAGGAGCCGTCCACGCTGGCAGCGCTCCCAGCCGCAGCCCGGGCGCTGATTCTGACTCCCCACAATGCCCTCATGACCTCCTCCCCTCTGGCCGTCTCAGGAGAACCAGTAGAAGAACGTTCAGAGGCCGTTCTCGGCAGCCAATAAGCGCAGTGAGGCCTCTCCCGTCCATTGTTCTCAGTGCCCCTCGAGGCTCGAGCCGCAGTGAATCCGGAGGGGAGTGATGTTGTGCCAGGCGCTTTTGCTGAGTGGCTGCGGAAGCCGGATCTGGTCTCCCGAGAAGTGAGCCCAGAGACGGGCCGGGAGCTGCGCGGAGCCGGGAAGTAGCCCGCAGCAAGGGGATGACTGAGACCCCTTGGGGCCGTGCAGTGCGAGCAGTCCTGCTGGGGGAGTCGGGGGCGCTGTCCCGCGACAGTGGGCAGGTCCCAGGAACAGGACGCCTGGGGGTCCGCTCGGCGAACGCACCCGAACTGCTGCTCGCGGGCGTGACCTGCCTGCCAGAGATTCCGGTCGGGGGCGCGGATTGGGACTGGAAGGCGCTGGACGGCGTCCCGCTCAGCTCCTGGTTTCACGGATGGAAACTGAGCTTCCGAGGGGCGTGTCTTGCCCGGGTCAGCGAATAGACTCACCGGGTGCAGTTTTCCAGGCTCCCAGGCAGGACTTCTTGCTGTTATACCTGTGCCTCTTCTAGCCCTTTGGTAAATAACACATTGAGAGCTTCAGTGTTCCCACTAGCTTTCTTCTTTTTTTCCTTCTTCTTCTTCTTCTTTTTTTTTTTTTAGTTTTTCCTTCCAGTTTCCCTTTTTTTCCCCTCCGGATCCACCGCGGCTCGAGCCCGAGGGGCACCGAGAACAATGGACGGGAGAGGCCCGCCCCCCACCGCGCTTATTGGCCGCCGAGAACGGCCCCTGGAAATCCTGCTCTTCTACTGGTTCTCCTGAGACGGCCAGAGGGAGGAGGCTGGGCCGAGGGCATTGTGGGAGTCGTAGTCCACAGCGGCGGCCCGGGCCGCGGGCTGGGAGCGCCGCTCAGCGTGGACGGCCCTGGCAGTGCGGCAGGCCAATCCGCGGACCGGCCCTCAGGACCCCAGGGTGGACCAGAGCTGTGACCTGATGCGGGTCATTTCACTTCCCGAAGGCCTCCGCGTACTTGCCTATAAAAAATGAAAGTTGTGTGGAGGGGACTGCGTGGCAAGGCATGTTGTTAGGCGCCTCCGAAGGCTGTGCCCGGAGCAGGCGGGAGTCCGCCCGGGAAAAGCACCCCCCTCCCCGCGGCTGCCCGAGCCCGGCGCCCCCTCCCTCAACCTGCAAGTCCACGGTCGCACCTGGCCTCGGCACACCCCTTTGTTTTCGCACGTGGCGTTCCTGCTGGAGGCAAGTCCCCGCCTCTTCTGCCACCGAAGAACTCCCTTCTTTCGTCCACCTGGTCTTCTCGGAGCCTGCCCCATCATCACCTCCCCGGGCGCGGACGCCGCGCCCAGCACACCTGTTCCACGGCTCGGTGTCAGTCACCGACGCTAGCGCCGCTCACCGTGGGTCTCAGCCTTGGGAGGTGAGAGTGGGAGATCCGCCTCTGTCCTTCCCACAGTTGGCGCCCTCGAAGAAAGGACTGCCCCAACACCTTCTGCCAACAGGTGAGAAACCGTCTGGAAACCCAAGGGGGAAATATGAGGATGGAAACAAACACGCTGTCAGTGGTCTGTGATACGACAATTGTGAATGCTTTTATTATGCAGACCAGTCACTGGAGGCGCACAAGCAAATGACTACATTTGTTGCTTTAATTTTTAATTTATATTTCATTTCACTTTTATGAAAATTTCATGAGTAGTTGAAAGATGTTTTATGTTTATTTGGATAATTTTAATCTCCTTTTCTGTGAACTGAGAGATATCAGTGAATGAATATCTTCCCATGGTTTTTTTTTGTTTTGTTTTGTTTTTTTGTTTTTTTCTTTTTCTTTTGATCCAATAGTTAAGATACAATGTTTTATGTTTCAGGTGTACAATATATGGCTTCAACGATTCCATACATTACTCAGCGCTCATCACGACAACGCACACCCTTTTTTAGAAGAAATTTTTTTAAGCTTATTTATTTTGAGAGAGAGAGAGGGGGGAGGGGAAGGGCAGAGAAGGCCGGGAGAGAATCCCAAACAGGCTCCATGCTGTGAGTGCACAGCCCAACTCCAGGCTTGAACTCGCTTGAACTCACCAGCCATGAGATCATGACCTGAGTGAAAATCAGGAGTCGGGCACTTAACCAAGGCTCCCCATAACAAGTGCACTCTTAATCCCCATAACCTGTTTCACCCACCTCCTCTCTGGTAACCATCTGTTCT